TGCCCATTACAGGGAATTACGATATGTAGGAGTGAAGCGACAGTCATCACCCCAGGAATTATGTACCTAAATTGACGACTACAAGGTAAATAGTGAACTGTTTCTGTGCACATTTGGCCAGTCACATAATCTCGAAGTGAATGTGCCGTAGGATTCATTATATTGCAAGCCTCTCACACCATTCTTTCCTCCATCACTAGGCATTTGTGTACGAAGTGTCACTTAGTGATAAAAGAGAAAGCAAGTCGTATACTACATTGATTTGATTGAGCTACAAACTCACAAACACGTGTTCAACTCACACATTCACAAAATCCACATACTATCATGTTGAATCACGCGGATGACATGAATACTGCATTATTCGTGATTTCCTCTATTCCCATCATCTTATCTGACTACATGTAGGCACTTTCCTCTCACACGTACACAACAGGTCGCATCGAACACATTGACAGAGAAAAAGTAAGACAGAAAGAGGAGATGATGTATCTCAGTCTGACTCTTCTCATTCATGTTATATTTGCTTCGTGCTTGGTGAAACGTTGGTGAGTCAATTTGATCGTCAGTCAGTCAGTCAATCACACATCATCTCACTCAAGCAATAATGCATTCATGTGCACATCAACTGCACAGTCATCACCGAGGTCGTCAAAACCACCATCATTTACATAATCACCATCATCATCATTACAATACATGAATTACATTAGCTGGAGTGGAAGCTGTAGTAGCAGCAGGGGTCACAATCACCATCATCATCGTCATCAAATCAGTGCTTAGTCCTCCAGTGCCATCATTGGCCCGGAATCACGCATACACCCACGCGCACACTGGCAGGTGTTGACCATCATTCAATCATTCATTCTTGCATCCATCCATCTTGTGAAACGATTCTCAGTCACATGTGCTATTCTACTTTACTTCATTTCATCCAGTGACAAAGACAATAATTTGAACTACTACTTGGAATCTACCGATGAAAGTGAACAGTTCATGTGTTAATCAACACAACCTTCCTCGTCATCAAACCTTGGAACACAAACATACTTTGTTCGCCTACACGCAATGACCACAGAAGAGGCTGGCCACGTTCGCTTCGTCATTCACACTGTTCGATTCGCTGACAACACACAATCTCAGATAAAGTTGAAGAAAGCGTGGAGAGTGAGAAATGGAGTCATCAGAACAGGTGTTATGTGAGATTTATGTTGCAAAAGCAAGTGTTGTCTTGAATTATCGCAAATAATCAACAAAATCCATGAAATCATTGATTTGTGACTGGATTTTAGGGCAAAGCATTGTTCATTATTTCGTGACTGTCATCAGAATGATGAAAGAAACTGTAGGAATATCCTTAGACATATCTCTAGGACAATGAGCTGCCGCATAACCACAGAGTACCTCTAAGTTGACTCCTTCACTTGTCATCATTGCAAATCATGGTAACACGGGTAAGGTGTTATGGGTTATTTCCGTTTGATATGTTCTCACACTGTCCTGCATTGCTATCAAATGATGACGCTTGAAGCTCAATCGATTGCTCATAATCATGTCAAAGTGATCACAAAGGGTATTCACTGACTTCCTTTAAATACATCTAGTAGTTCTATCTCTGCAACGAGTGGTTAATAGCACCTAGTAGAAAATCAGTCAAACAGTCTACATGTCGCTGCAAGTGAACCATTTCGAGCTCTTCATGAGACTGGTTTCATTTTCCCTAATCACGTGATATCGGTGATCAAAGTGAAGAGAATCTGTATAGCTTACATAATATTGATCTTAAAATCGCATTGCCGAAAATGAATTGTGTGTCTATGCTGTTTGCCCTATAGATTCGCACGTGTTGTGCTAGTTTGATGACGGAATATTCGTCAACCAATCGGATGGTTTGGATTAGATTCTCAACCGACGGATGAGCTCCGAAACATTGCTTTGCTGGAAGTAATCCGAGAAAGAGGTTAGGCTGAGTGAAAAGGACCTGAATTCGAACACTGGTGAGTTTCTGTAATTGTGAGCCGTCTCAAAAAAGAGAGTGAAACAGCTGGTGAATTCTGACTGGTTTAATTGTTCCACAATGTGAAAGCAACACGATTCATCATCCATTTTCAGTGCATCAATACAAGAATACACTTCAGTGGTGATCAGGTCACCAAGTTCTCTCATTTACTTATTTGTGAGAGATTTACTGCACTTAGGTGAATGAATACTTCAGTGAAGTATCCTGTGTTAATCACAAAATAAATTCAAGATGTACTGTGTGAGAACAGTTTCAATAAACTTACATGTTCAAAGGCAATAAGAAGCACGTCTAACTGTATCCTCAGATTTCTGTTTGTAACCTCACACGAGATTCTAACTCAGTAACATTAATTGCAGTGATATTTGATGTTGTGAAGTGAATCTATTCTCTGTGTTTCTCATCACTAATTTCTACTTATTATATCGCTATTATTATTAATAGTAGGTTCTGAATGAGACAGTAGTCTCCCACGACATATCTCCACTTCAAGTGGTTCTCTAAAGTCCACCTTAATTGAATCAACGATCGCCTATCAGCTGTCTACACCCACTACTATGATCTCATCCATGTCACTATCAAATTCATGCCCCACTCATGAATTCTCATTCAGGCTCCACTCGTGTGATGACCTGATGCGCGACTTCACCCAACGGAATCCTCTGCATTTATCTATTCCACGTCTGTTTAGTTCTGCTCATTCGTTTGCTGACAGGTTCTTGGTTGGTTTGAGAGAGATCCTTCTGGTGAATCCTTTCCAACCAGCCATTTGACATCCAATATGGAGGCAAGACTGATGTTCATGAAATTCTCGAGTGGCCTGTTGGAAATACATTCCATGACTGGTTTATTCTCTGAACCTTAATATATGACCCGGAAAAGCTCGACATCACAGGCCTCATTCTGAATCGTATACTTAGTGCCAATTTGTGTGAAGATTTCCAGATTGATTTCAGTGTGATACGTGTTTGTTTCGCCTTCCTATCATCTCGAAATCAACACTCATATCTGAATTCATTTCTTGGAAGACATGCCGCCGTTGAGTAGTTTTCATCTTCACATTTCACCACGGATTGGTGTCAGTCAAACAAGCGCTGCAAATACACTACGTGAGGGGAGTGGACAGCTGTCCCATCCTAGTGTGCAACTCAGTGGCATCGCCCAAGCCATTGTTCTCCGTAACCAGAACTTCCTGACTCCAAGTCGAGGTCGTAGACCATTCAGTCACTAGATGTCAAATCGATGTACAGCCCATGAATTCTGGCTTCTACTGACTTCGGATTTTAGTGCGACTGAAACTAGACAATGTTCATGTTGACGATTGTTTGCTATGACTCCCGTCCGAGACTGTCGAGGCCGATTGGTCACGAGAAAATCTCGAAAATTTTCATCTCATCACACAATCAGGTTCTATGAAGATGATAGGATTTGAAACTGAATTCATATATTCGGTAAATTAGAGTCTTTCTGTGATTTCCATTTTGCCTGCAATGACCCGGTGGATTCATCAAACATTGAAACTGAAGCGCAACTAAAAGGTAGTCTCAATTCAATGCATTTATGTCGTGCGCCTTTCAAGCGATGACATTTAGCTTTGAGATTTTTTCCCTGTAGAAGGTGATGTGCAGTCCTAGTGGCTGAGTTGTTGAATGAATGAAACAGCAATCCCCAACGTTTACTCGATGAATACACCTTCACTTTTTCTATTATATATTCGTTCAGCGATAGGCTCTGAGTTGGTTTGTTGCAGAGTAACTTGTCCCTTATCCTTTCTGGCCAGCGGACTGGCTATTTGGTCTTCATTATGGAGCCAACGAAGTGGGCGGCCGTTGATAAGACTCTGTAGTAGCCTTTTGGAAATCCTTCTATGACCCGTATAGAAGAAATGACTGACTGACTTCACATTTGTGTCGAACAACCGAATATCAGTATTCACACTCGTCGAGCGCAGGCGGTTTTCGAACTTGTTTCACGTTGATGAATGCGTGTTGACATCTTCATCCGTTTCGACTGCTTGTGATTGAAACGATGCTTCCTAGAAAACTGAAGCCGGGATGTAACATCTGTTAAGCCTCCTGTTAATGGTGATTGGTGCTAGTTGTTGTTGTTATTGCGGTTATTTGGTTACCTTCATCACCTCCATATTCTCAATGTTCACCTTCAATCCTGTCTTCGTCACCAGCCTCTTCGCCTAGTTTGTTGACTTTCTACTCTGAGTCTTCGAGTTTGTGTGACATTAGACATATATCTTCTGATACATCCTTATATTCTAGAGTTTTCTAATAGGTTAGTCCGACTTATTGCTATCTCTCCATTTCCAGAGAAAAATAAAAAAAAATTTTTGTTGAATTATTATTATCCTTTTTGAGCATCGTAGCTTCTATACTATTTTGTTTGGTTTTGTGGGGTCGAGCAGCTAACTTTAGGCTCAAGCGTCCCTCTTTACCTCAGAGCTCACCTAGAAAACTAGTGATCTAGTTAACTGTGCGAGTTTATGTGGTGTGGTTGACGGATGTTAAGCCACTAAACCAATATCTTCTGTCTTCAAATAATCAAAAATCCTAATGCA